AAAAAAAAAAAAGAAAGAAAGAACGCTCTCTTCAGGTTACTTCAGGCACTTTCTGTGCGTCCTTAGAGCTGGTTTTAAAACCCCTTTGGCAGTGACGTGACTCTGCAGGGTGGTCTGTGGGCCGAAACCAGCAGCAAAGCCTACACCATCGTCGCTCGCTGAATCACCTTCCAGGCGATGGCTGGGCCACACGACGCTCTCAGGAGATGTGGCTGCCACAGCCGAGCCAGGGACAGCAGCCTCCGGCTGTGACAGTGACCTGGGCTGATGGTGGGCTCCCTGAGCCATGCGTGACGCTTTCCTATTTTATTGCAGCGTGACACCTCTTTAGATGACTGCTTTTGAGGGAAGGTGGGAAAAAGGGGACGGAGCCTAATGAGGTTTTCCCCAGACAAGGCATTTAAAATATCAAAGAACATAGGGGAGATAGCTCAGAAGTGTACTTGCCTGAAACCGAAAGCAAACACGGGGGGAAATCAAATGAAGGTTTAAAAACATACAGCACTAAAATTAGCTACGGAACGGCTTCGTTAAGTAAAGCCAACTGTGTCACGTGGCCGGCTGCCTCCTTGCGCGTCAGGATCAAGGATAATTAGCTGTATGAGGTGTGTAGACAGGACCTTCAAGGGCTCACACCGTGGCCTTTCATAGAAGGCGGGCGTCACGGGGAAGGCCGTCCTGGTCAGGACCCCGAGTGCCATCGTGACGTGGGGAGTGCGACACAAAGCACAGGTCCTCAGTGGGGGCGGTGCCCTTGGTCACGTCATAAAGGCTGTCCTGGAGGAACGGGGTTTACCGAAACTCGCCCGTACCCAGGAGGCTGCCTCTCGTGCACTGAATGCGGAACTCGCTCTCGGCCCCATCTTGCGGCAGCCGTGTTAGGCTCCGGAGAACAGACCTGTTGGGTGCACACTCAAGTTGAGAGCATGTCCACAGTCGCACAATTACAACAGAGACAAGGAAAAGCCACCGGGAAGGGCAGGCGGGAGCCCGCAGCCCAGCCACGGGCTGGGGCTGAGCGGAGTCCATGGAGGAGCTTCTGGTATTTTCAATGTGAGAAGCATCATGACTATTCAAATGCCAGGGGAATGTGGCGCTGAGCCAGGCACCCTGCGTCAGGTCTAAGGCGGTGCCTCCACGATGCACAGCAAGGGGGCCCAGCCCTGCGCCAGGCGCCCGCCCCCCGGACATGCAGCGGCCCCCCGTGTCACACGTCCGAACCTCCCGGCCGGGAAAGCCCTGGGAGCCCAGCGCGGCTCCCCCATCGGCGACCTGGACCTGGTACTGAGAGCTAGCATCTCTTGTAAGAAAACGGGAAAATCTTCACAATTCAGGTTTGGCATCATTTCTTGGATAAGACAGTAAAAGTACAGGCGGAAAAAGGAAAAATGGATAAACTGGGCATCATGAAAATTTAATTGCGCACCAAAGCAGACAACTGCTAGTGCTCGAGCATGGAAAGAGAGGCTAACCTTTCAATCTCCCTACCTGCCAATCATAGTCTGACACGGGCTTAAATTCAGAATATAAAGGACTCCTACAACCCAACAACAAAAACAGCAGACGACTTGAATAGACACTTCTACAAAGACAATATCCAAATGGCCAACAAACACGCGAAAAAACATCACCTGTCTTTAGGAAAATGCAAATCAAAACCACAATGAGCTACCGCCTCACACCTGTGGGGGTGGCTGCTATCAAAAAACCCCCACACAGCCCAGGAAATGACCAGTGCTGGGGAGAGACTGACCCCTGTGCACCGCCGTGGGCGTGTGAAAACGGTGCAGCCGCGAGGCGCGGTGTGCAGGGCCTTCTGGAAGGTCCCGTGGAGCCAGCGGCTGGCCCAGCCGCTCCGCCTGTGGGTCTGTGCCGGGGAATCGGCAGCAGGCCTCTCACGAGGCATTTGTGCAGCAGCGTTTCTCACCGTGGCGGAGAGGGGAGGCAGCAGTGACTGGATTAGCACACGGTGGCGTGGCCAGGACACAGCATCTCTCGGCCTTAACAAGGAGGGACATTCTGCCACCTGCCACCGCGTGGGTGGACCTGGGGGAACTGCTCAGGGAGGAAGCCGGGCATGAAGGACAAGTACTGTGTGACTCCACTCGAGTGAGGGACTCGGGTGTCAGGGTCGCAGAGACAGGAAGCAGACGGGGGTTACACAGGTTCTCACAGAGGAGCTGCTGCCTGGCACACCGGGTGACGGGCAAACGGCAGCACAGATCAGGCTGCTGAGACGGGAAGGGAGCCGGATGGATGGCCGCGTGTACCGTGCATCCATCACCACGCGGCGGGGTCCCACAGGATGACACCCGGTCCTGGGGCCCCACCAACAAAAGAAACTGCCCCCAAACACACTCGGGCTTTGAATACCAACAGCGGCTGGGGAGCCGGGAGCCCTGGCCGAGTGGAGTGCAATGCCACCTCGGAGCGACCCGCAAACATAGTCTTTGGGAAACTCCCCCATTCATCCCTTTAAAAAAACTGTGATGAAACAGAAAAAAACAAAACCCTGGGTAAAGAGAAGCCGCTGACAAAAATCTAAAAAGCACAACCTTGAAAAAGATCTTGGCTGCAAAACGATTATCGTTCCATTTGAGCTAAGTGCTCCCATGACAGAGGGGTATGCTGGCTAAACACTAATTCTGACGGAAACTATTAATTATGAGTTAGAAATGCATTCGCAGTGAAGAAAAAGGAAGCCATGGAATTTCACAGGTCGGAACCGACTCTCCCGCCCACAGGGACTCGGCTCTCAAGCCGCATCGCTCTCTGCACAGGGGACTCAAACCGCTCCTGGCCGGCCCCCGCAGGCCCTAATCCCCGAGAGCCTGTGTGACCCAGAGCGCCTGTGGCCGCAGCTGCACCTGCTGCTGGGTCTGGTGGGAAGCTGGCGGCTGCAGGGCTGCCGGGTGGGCGCAGGAAGGCTCTGCCGAGGCTTCGGTCCTGCACAATTCACTCCTTTCAAGAAAAGGAAACGGGAAGAAAGGTTTGGTGTCCGGGCTTGGGGCCTTTGATCATCTGGTGAACACAGGGTCTGCAGCAGGCCTGCGGCTCCTCAGACCAGACAAAGGCGGCCAGGAGAGCCTGGGCCAGAACAAAACCCTGGGCGGGTGGGCGGCCACTCAGTGTGGTGGCCTGGGAAAGGCACCGCTGGCCGGGTGGGGCCGCCCTGCCCTTTGATCTCGCAGAGGCCTGGCCCCAGATGAGGGGCTTTGACATGGCAACCCCCACTCTCCAGCAGAGGGAAGCAGCTCAAGAACGGAAGGAGGGGTGACCAGTCTCAGGAAAGGCCGGGACTGCCCTCTTAGGCCCGCTCCCCACGGCTGGGCTAGGCTGGCACAGCTTAACGCTGGCCCACGCCTTGCGTGGAATCTGACTGCACGGTGCCCGGGGGCTGCTGCTGTGGGACAGACGTCAGCCTGCCCCAGGGCCGGTCCCCAGGCTGGGAGCTTCTACACGACGGCTTTTCTGTGAAGTGGACCTGAGCCACTTAAACTCCAGGTTTCACCCTGGGTGGACGCCGGGCCGACCCCACAAACACGGAGAAAGTGTCGCAGCCCTCCCTTCCCTCAGACCGGCCACGTTCCCATGTGTGCCCAGGGGCGTAGTGTCCCACTGCGTCTAGACGCAGGCATCACCTCCAACACAAAGGTGGTCTGTGTCCTCCGGAAGTGCTTGGTGTAATGGAGGGGCTGTCACGTGCTTGGTGGGCGGAGAAGGGAGGGCTGGGCGAGGGAAGCAGCACAAATGCCGTGAGCGCCGAGCTCCCAGGAACTGCAAGTTCAGCAGTGACAAGACGTATCTGAGGAGATGCAGTGGCATTAAAGCACAGGGAACAAATGACCTCTGGTCTGAAAAGGTCACGATTAAGTCAGGACCTAAAAGCGGGAGGTGCTACTCAAAGTGGAACCGGAGCATCTGCACTCGTCTGGGCTGCCTTGTCTGCTGGCTCATCGGCAGCACTGGGCTCACTTCTGATGGTGACAAGCCAGGTGGGCTGGTGGCTGCTTGTAGGGCGTTTGGTCGTTTATCCAGGCTGTCTAATCTTTACGTTCAAAACGATGGGCTCCTAACTCACATCTTTTGGTTCAAGACATGTTCTATTTTTCTTTTTAACAAGAAGAAAACAGAGTCAGGAGAATGCCTGTGTCGGAGTCGCTGGCATTTGTGTGAAAATGTATAAACGCAGGTATGTAATCGGCACCCGCTCCCACTGTCGGGCAAAGGATGGAGAATAGGATGTCCTGGAAGGTGGGAGCCTCTACAGAACACACGTGCATGTGCGTGCTTGCGTGTGTTGACATGGAGTTAGCGAGCGTGCACTGAGCGTCTACCATGTGCCGAGCCCGATGTCCACGCCACCGGACGCTGGTAACAAAGGCGGCACCTCAGGAGTCACCGTGCTTGCTGCAAACAGCTTTCATGTGACTCGGGAAAGGGATAGCCATTGGCTAATTTTCCGAGGCCTCTGAGAGCATGACACCAGGTTGCCATAGCAATGCCATCCCGCTCTGATCTGCAGCAAAGCAGCCACCCCAAGTCTCACCTTTGGCTATCTTGTTGAGAACCATGTCGATCAGGACGTAGGTGCCGCTCCGGCCCGCGCCATCGCTGTCAACAGAAGGAGAGAGATGAAAACGCCGCCGTCACGGTAACCCCACGCCAGCAAAGCCAACGGCAGCTCAGTTCCTTCTGTGTTTGAGTGGGGCTCGTGAGGGGGGAGCGAGGCTGCGAATGTGAGAGAAGCGGGGAAACGTGGGTGAGGAGGGGGTAGGGGAGGGGAGGAGGAAGAATGAAGAAACATGTGGCTGTCAGAGTCCATGGCCCTGGCATTCAGCGTCTGCCCCGAGCTGCGTGGGGCCCACATAACCTCGCGGCAGGGAACGCGGGGTGCTGGGCGTCCGCGCAGGCTGGTGGCGCCCCACCACACACGCCCGTCCCTGCTCTCACAGCACAGGGTACACGCTACTCGTTCCTTAGTCAGCGTCTCCTTTCTCTGCTCCTAACCCCCCTGCCATCACTGGAATATTTACCATCTGGATGGAGTTGTAAGAAGGTTTTGAATTGTGCCTCGACAATAGCAAATGAAAGAAAATGATTCCTTTTCTGGGGGAAAGCAGCCCCAGCCCATCCTTTCTCTATCAGCACGTGTGGCCATCTCGTCCCCCACAGATGTGTCCCCGAGAGGTGGCTGTTCTCCCCACGAGCAGCTTCAAACAGACGCTTTACATTTATATTCCTAGCAAAACCAATTGCGACTTTAGGGAAAAAAGAAATGTTTCTATGTCAAGACTTGAGGGATCCTGTGACTAACGGACAAATCCCATGCTGTCAGTCTCTGGCTGGCATGGTGGCCGGTAACCCCGAGGAGCCACTGCTGAGACTGCAGTGTCCGTCTTTCTGTAGTCAACGAACATTGCGTTTGGCTCTAACATGTTTTCTCAAACAAAGTGTTGAAGAAAGCTGCAGCTGGAAAGGTAAATATTCATACATTTCACTTCCAACACGTCACCTTCGCCGCGTGGAGACGCAGCAGAGCTGGTCCTGCATCTAATCCTCACCGTGGGCAGTGACCACAGGCGCCTCTGTGGCCGCTGGGCCGTCCCTCTGCTCTCCTGTCATCACTGCTCTTCCCATGACCTCCGAGACTGACTGTAAACCTCCCGTCTACCTGCAGCTCGTCTGGGTGCACTTGTGCGTAAAAGCTGTTCTTTTCTACATTTGAGGGAACCACACCTTCTTCTATTCTCTTCCTCTTCTCATAGGTGGACACAGACACAGACAGATAGACATACACACAGACAGACATACACACAGACACATGTAGACACAGACACACATTCACACATAGAGACATACACACCTAGAGACAGACAGACACATACACACCCCCACACAAGCACACACAGAGAAACACACACTCTCACACACAGACACCCACACACTTTGTGTGACACACATACTCTCTCATACACTCACAGTCTCACACACACACACACACACTCACATACACACTCACACACACACACACACACACACTCACACACACTCTCTCCCCCTCTTTCTCTCTCACATACACACTCTTCTTGACTGAATTGACGGGCTTGGTGTTTGATCTTTGGAGACGTGTCTCCCCTTTATCCCAGACAGAAAGGAACATTCTACAAGATAGTTGCAGAAAATGGAGTGTGGTTCTGTACCAGAAACAGCTGATGTGAAGCCAGAAGACGGTGCCCTGACAGTGAATTTTCTGTGAGTGGCTCTGCTGTGGCTGGTGAGGGTGTGACCTAACTGAGGGGATGAGCCCTGAATTTTCACCCGAAGGCCCAGACTCACGTCATAAACCAGAGGTGGCCCGTCTTCCTGTAACTACAGCTTTTGTCCCTGTTCAAAATGGCCCCAAGCGCGTCTCACCTTCTGCACGTGGTTCCAAACCTCAACTGCACATATTGGTGGCTGAGACAGAGCAATAGATAAAAAAAATGTTGTCTCAAAGTTTTTGTGTAGTGGCACCACAAGGACTTAAGAGAAAATAGGGTGGCAGACACAAGCGTAGCACCCTGCACATGGCTTCTGGGAAGGACACACAGCACGTGCAGGCGGGACCAGCACACTGACCTAAACACATGACTTCACAGCTCAGCGGCATAGAAAATTCATCTTAGCACTTTGGTTTCCATGGGAAACACCAGGTAGGTGTCATTATTAAGCCACTAGGAAGTTCAACTTCTGGATTTAATTGTGGTTTGTTTTTTGAGGTACCAACACTTCTTAATCCATGTTAAAAGTTGTACTTGCCTGCAATGAACAATTATTGGACAAGAACGGCCCCTGTAGCACTTGTTTACTTTTCTGAAATAAAAAGAGATACAGAAATTATGGTTATGTATGACGCCTTCTTTACCCTGTTACCCAAAATCACCAACAAGCCAAAGCATGTAAACCATGTCTCGGACATCAATTTGCAACAGCCTGTTTTGACAAAGAAAATCAAAATTACACACACACTTTCAGAGGTTTATTTTTCTTTTCAATGTAAGTTATTAAACAGAGCTTTCAAAACAATTCTTACACTTTCACGAAGTCCTTCTCCCTTTGCAGCTATGAGCTTGAGGTCCTGGGTCGTGGGGCCCTCAGCCTACCCCCCGCCCCCTTCTCAGTCTCTTGTTCCTACAATTAATTTCACCTGTTTTGTAGTTGTGCTACAAGTGCTGGATTCTTCACTGAAATGTTTGAGTTTCGCAGTTTATGCTAAAAATGTCTTATGGTCTAGCTCTTGTACTGGAATGTAATGTTATATTGTCTCAAAGCAGCAGCACCTTAAAGATGCTCTGAACTTTGGTTTTGTACGGGTGTCTAAATTATAGACAAACAGTTGCAGGCAAGACAAGCTTCCCACGCTTATAAATGTGTGTCTAAAAACAACTTCGTTGTGCAGATTTCAGATCAGAATTTATGAAAATTAACAAGAAGCATTGAATAAGTTTATAACCAAGCCCTAAATCCAATCACAGGCTGATTCGAAACTCACTGTATAATAAAGTCCGTGAAACATGCACACGTGTTCACAAAGTACATCGAAATTCTCTGTGAAATGTTTCTGAATAAAGAAAATCAAAAACAGAATCTTGGTGGATTGGAAGGAAAAAAATGTGAGGCGGGTGTGCCCTAAAATGAGCTGTAATAACTTCTACAACAGAAGGCATGAGGTGAAAGTTAAAAACGAATGACAGTACAGAGGAATCTTTTTCCTCGTACCAGAAACGGGGAAATGTCACATTTCTTTGCATAGGTTTGCCTGCTCAGCATGGAAACAGTTGCACGTGAAAATGCAGTCAGTGGCTGCTCTGCCCCCAGCCCTGCGAGCCGCAAGGCCCGGGGTGGGGTGAGGGGCCGGGGGTGGGGGATGACTCAGTTCGTGGCGTCAGCTTGAGCCTCAGCGTAGCTGCGTTGTCCTGCGTCCTCTGTGGGGTGAACAGGACGAGGCACTTCTGAGGGGAGGCCTACACCCCCTGACCAGCATGAGGGGTGCAGCAGCCCAGGCAAGACGCAGCCCTCAGACGGGCCGGGCTCCCAGCCTGCTCAGGGCAGCGAGGGACCTGGCTGCCGGCCTCTGAAAACATGCGGCATTCAAAGACCCCGCCCCGCAAAGGTGTCACAGGGATGTGAGATACAGTATGGGGGATGTAATCAATAATGCTGTAGGGACCATGTAGGGGGTCAGATGGGTACTGGACTCCTCAGGGGATCACTTCACAAATTATATAAATGCCTGACCACTGCACTGTAAACCTGAAACTAGTATAAAATAAAAAAATAAAAATTACATATATATAAATTTTAAAAAAATCATTAAATAAATGAGAAGACCCAGAAACATGGGTCAAACAAGCTGCCCGGTGTCCCCATGGCCATGTCATCATTTCGGCTGCAGCCTTTTCTTGCTTTTTGTGTATACTGTAATGTTAAGTTTGGGGGAAAAAGTGGAGAAAGTCACAGTGAACTCATTAAAATCAGTGACACAGGTGAGCCGGAATGTCTCCAAAGTTCTTGGCCCTTTGAGAGTAAAGCAGATACGAAAACACCCATTCCGTTCTGCCCAAACCTCCCGTTCTGGACTTGGGCTGTCAAGATAGCGTGAGCTTTGTCTCTGACAAAACAGACGCCAGACCTCAAGGATGAACCTTGAGTGAGAGTGTGAAACCCAGCAGCTCAAATGAGGCGTGTGCACGTGTGTACGTGCGTTGTGTGCATGTGTGTGCGTGCACGTGTTGTGTATGTGTATTGCGTGCACACACTGTGCTCATGTGCAGAATTGAGCAAGCTGACCTGCCCCACCAGAGCTAGCTGGCACTGTTTTCACAGGCTTTTAGTTTCAAATTGAGTTTCTTGGCCTGGAGCTTTTAAACACGAACCAGCTCGGCGCGGCCCCTCCAACATTCTGCCATGGACCACACCTGGCCATCCAGCCTGTGTTTGTAAGACTCAGCTCAGCTTCTGCACGTTCTGTCACCGGCCAGTCGCCAGCACAAAAAAAGAACATTAAAAATAAACATGAGCACAGGCCTTCTTTCAGCTGCGCCAGCTTCAGGAGACATGGCTGCAGGAGCCAGTGAGTGGCCGGGAGAGGCCCTGCCAGCGGCTCAGCCGTTCAGCAAACGCGGGAAGAACAGGCCCCTGGCTACTGCGGGCAGCTGCTTCCCCAGCCCTGCAGCTCCTGTGCGCGTGTGGCCACAGATTTCAGTACTTTTTCTGCAACATGTTCTGACTGGCTGCCTAGCAGCTGCTCGGAGGGCTCCGCAGTGATGTTGATATCCACACCAGCCCCCCAGCGCTAACCCTATTTGCAAACAGCCATGAGACGCGCAGTGTCAGCGCAGGGGCTGCTATGGTTTACATGTATTTACAGAGAATCATGTGCTCGTGTTATTACAGCGTGGGACACCGAAGCGGGGAGGCGGAAGCACCACAGTCCACAAAAGCGTTCATCTGGTCGACCCAAGCGAGAGAGGCGCATTATTCACGGACGGGCGACACACAGCCGCCTTATTTTACGCTATCAGAACAGATCATCAGGAAGCAAAAGGGCGCAAGCATTGAGAAAAACGGATATTATGTATACGTCCACAGGAGGAATCCACGGAAAAAGAACGATTAGTAATACAAACCAACCCACGGGTCACTGAGTGAGAAGCGACCGTCAGGCAGCCACCAGCGAGCAAAGGTCAGAGGTCGTTAGAGGCTCAGAAAAGGGGCTTCCCACACTGTCCCTGCAGTACAGTCACAGTTTCCAACGATCACTTTTGTGACTATGCAACTGGGCTCATATTACTAGCTGCAACGTCACAAAAATGACACTGGCCACCGCTAATTAGCTGGCAAAGTAAGGGTTTGTCCATGTTTACAGCGAGCACGAGCATGGATGCATTGCCACAGCAAGAGTGAGTGATCAGACAGACAGAGAGAGTTCTTCTAACGCAAAGCCCTCACATGGACACTCGTTCTCGCCTAGCTCAGCCGTTTCTCTGCAGACATTCCTAGTTATGCCCTGGCTGCCTGACTGACGAGCACCCTGGGCCGGAGCGAGGGTGAGGCTGTGCTGCGGCCCACGGAAGGGAGAGGAGGATCCGGCTGCGTCAGAGCGACTGGTGTCCCCAGAACCACTGTCCCCTCCCCGGTCGCTGAAACTGGGCTGCCATCGTACTGTTTTACATAGAAAACCACAAAGGAGCAACCCGTGCCTAAGCGCGATGCTCTCTGAGAACGTGACCATTCACGCCGACGGCCCAGTCAGTACTGAGAGGCAGCCTGGCCTGGACTGCCGGGTGGGGCCGGAAAACCTTTCGATTCTAATGGGACTTTAAAGCTGTGTCTGGGGCTTCGTGTTGCTTTTCACTGAACAGAAACCTTCTCGAGTTCTATGTGCTAAGACTCTAGACCAAGGGGATTGGCAGAATCCGATATTCCTTCAGGAAGAACCGTAAGCATGGGTCGGTTATGGAGCGTTAATTCCATGCATGGATGCGATGGACAAACAGGCCCACAGGCACATACGGACAAACACGCCGGATGAGCGGAAAGACGGGATCACGGTAACCGCCGTCTTTGCAGCCACATCCATCTTGCCAGGAATGGCCATTTTTTGAAGACTCTATCGCAGGAAATGTGCCCCAGGTAAGATTTTTAGATAGCATGTCTTCAGACATAAATGTCTATTAAGAAAATACAGGTGATGTCCAGGAAATGAGGATGGATCGGGAAGGACGTGTGTGCGGCCACTGTTTGAGGGTGTGTTTGGGATTCAGTGCGTCCTCTGCCTCTGGGAGAGGAGGTGGGTGGGGATGGGGTCACTGGGTGTGTCTGTGGATGTGACACTTAATGCATGCGTCTCGTAGAGCTCTTTCACATGCCATTGGGTCCAAAGAACTACACAAATTAAAAAACTTTGTCTTTCAAAGTGGACTGAAAGGCAAAAGAAATGGTTTCATAATAACCGACAAATCTGTAATGCACAAATCAAGGCGTCCAGAGATAAGGCTGAAGCCCGTCTTTATGACAGCACCTGCCTGTCAACCTCCCTCGGTGACACGACTGTGGCCTCCGGGGTGCAAACCTGTTCAGACACGAATCCCTTTACGATTGTAATGTGATTAAACAGCCTCTGTCCTCATTCCTGTTTCGAATAGTTACCTGTTTTCCTTACTAGGTAGATGTCCAGTCAGTTACGTGGAAGGGAGTCTCACAGACTTAGAACCTGGCTGTTGGCCGGCTCAGCACCTGTCTATTCACCCCCCACCATCTGATAGCCAGGGGCTGTCACAGGGGGAGGTGTCATCAAACCTGTGTCTCAAGTGTTGCTTTTATTTTATTGCTCTGTCAATATCTTCCTGCAAGATGGTGTCTAGCATTCATTTCAGCAGTTCAATAAATACACTTTCAAACAAGATGACCCACCCGGTGACTAGCTGACTAGGGCATGAACAAAAGACTGGATGTTTTAAAACTGTTGGCTTCAAAATGGCACTAAAAATATAGACAGTCATGTGCTATCTACACCTAGGCTTTCGGCCAAGGTTGCCCGTGTTGGAATCGGGGCCTAGCCTGTTAAATCTCATCATCATCTCTAACCAGGTGAGTGGCCACACCAGAAATCCGGGTTTCATTCCTCAACATCTTTGGGACCCTTCATGCCTTGGAGAATCTTATCAAAAAGCATGATCGTATTTCCGCAATCTAAGACCCCTATTCTTCTCTCACATTTGAGCCTCTAAAGCGAGAACGCATCTTGCAGTTAATACGTAAATGATGTGTAGCTACTCCTCCCCTCCCCTCCCCTCCCCCATATATAACACCACTGTATTTAGAACATCTAACAGACAGCCCCCACCCC